TAACATAATAAAAATATATATACGAAAGATTTATTATTTTATATTTTACATAATTTCAATAAAAAATTATTATTTATTTAGTTAAACTAATTTTCTAAATCTAAATAATAAAAATAAAAATAAATATTTTATAATACTTTTATAATTTTCAATAATTAATAACAAAAATTTTCATAAATTTCAAATCAAAATGAACAAAATTAAATATTTTAAAAAATAACGTATCAATATCTTTAATAATCATTTTAGGTAATGTCAAACAGTTAATTTTATCAAATACTTTAATACAAACCGTTAATTGAATCCGCTAACAGGTAACAGCTAATTGACAAACGCACCCTAGGTAAACATGGAGACATCGGGATCTGACCCCATAACCTCACGATCAAAACTTTACTTCCCACACCACCAGTCATCCCTTACGGCATCGTACGTTTTTTATTAAAGCAGTCAATTTGTTGCAGACATTAGAGATGTCTGTCATCTTCATTGATTGAAAATGTCATATTAGAAAGACGAATAAACTCAATTTCAATGGAATAATATAATTATTTTTATTTCTTTTTAATTAAATATTTCCTACTACTATTTTATTTTTAATTTAATTTTTTATATTTTATTTTAGACAAAATTGTTCATACATTCTATGTGGGTGTAAATTTTCTTTCTATTATTAAAATTATATAGTGTCATTTATAGTTTAAAAGCTATTACATAAAACCTTTCGCTATGCAAAAAAATATAAACAAAAAATCATCTTTTTATCACACAAAAAATATAAAAAGATATTTCATTCAATATTTTTTAAAGTATAAGGAGATGTCATGCAATTTTTAAAATATACGAAAATTTACGATAAGTTTCGAAACCACAGAAAATTTATGAACAATTTTGCATTTATTTTAAATAAAAGAAATTTAGATAATTTTGAAATCGACGGTTATGGGTGTGTTTATATACCTCCACAATATATATTCTATAAATTCATAAAAATCAACAATTTCATAAAAAAATACTCACTCCGTCCATTAATAAACTTCTTATTTTATCATTTTAGTTTATTCAAATTAAAACTTCTCATTTTGTTTTTATAAGAAAAACTAAGTCATTTAAATACTAAAATATCCCTAAATTTTATTTTTCACATTACTTTTATTTTATTGTCAAGGATAAATTAATATTACACTATTTTATTATACTATATATTTATAAAAAAAATAAAAATAAATTTTAAATGACAAATGAAATATAACATAAACATGTGTTTACTGGTTTATATATACATATATATAAATATGTTTAGAGAGTGATAAAAAATAAAATTACTCCATTATATTAACCATAAAGTTATAAATAAAACAAAATACAAGAATAACAAATACAATGTCATATTAAACTACATCATTAATAACCATACTAAATTAATAATTAATATAAATAAACAAATTAAAAAGCAATAAAAGAAGTTATTAAAATGCACTGTCATGTGTCAGTGCATTTGTACTGATAGCAGGAGAAGAGTCTACTAAACTCCATTAAATGTACAATTATTTTGTACATCAAATTAAAAAGGTAAATTATCAAAAAAATTTACACATTTTTTACAGATTAATAAAATTTTATTATTTCTTAATATAATATAAAATTTTAAAGGATCATTTGACTTGGAACGGAGAAAATATTATTATATTTTCAATTTTTTTTTCTTTTATTAGTCATACTTTTATATATTTTATTAATTAGACCAAAACCAAAAAAATGGAGGTGTTGCGCTCCAACCCAACCCTATTTCCTCTCCTATTTCTGGGGATAGCTATAATGTTACTCCAAAAATAGGGTAACACTGTAGCTTTATTCCATTTTTTAAGTGGATTATGTTGCGTATTTTTTTTTTATTTTTTGGGTGTATTATGTAATTTTATTTTTTTAAATGATATATAATTTTATTTTTGGAAAGTGATATACTCCCTCTGTCCCATAATAAGGTATTCATTTACTATTTGCGTCATTGTACTTAATATTAAAAATGTCCTTATATTTATATAATTTTGTGTACAAATATCATTATATTAGTATTATAAAACACTAATATAAGTATTTTTGTCAATTTTCCTTGATTTGTAATATATTTTGATATAATAATTAATATTAAAAAATCAACACACAAAAAATAAATAAATACTTAGTTACGGGACAAAGGAGAGTGGGTATAATTTTACTTTTTAAAAAATAATATATAATTTTATTTTTTAAAATGATATATAATTTTATTTTTGGAAAGTGATAAGTAATTTTATTTTTTAAAAAATATAATATAATTTACTTTTTAAAAAGTGATATATAACTTTATAAATAAAATACGAATTATATATTTTTTTTAGTGATAATGTAAAAATAAATTAAAGTTATGTTGTAATTTATAAATATAAAGGGTTATATAAACTAAAATAAAAGAAAAATATATAAGGAACATACTTTTTAGAGTAAAAATTGAAATTTGTAATTGGAGTAAATCAACTGTATTTTTACTATAGTTGCTAATGGGTTGGAAATGACTTTAGTACTCTCTCCGTCCTAGTAAAGATGAGCTTTGTTTGTCCCATAAGGGACGGTCTGATGGTGTGGGGTAGGACGTGTGACCGTGAGGTTATGAGTTCAAATCCCCGATGCTTCAGGTCACCTGCAACACATGGTTCGCCTAGTGTGATTTGTCTGTCGTATTAGGTTCGGCCGGAGATTTATCCAGGGCGGACTTTCGAGTAGCGACTGCGAGTTGAAAAATGTCTATAAAAATAAATAAAATAATTAATTTAATATATAAATATTATTTTATATATTAATAAGTATTTTAGGTAAAGTTGATTAATAAGTTATTTTAAATTTTAAATTAATTTAATATATAAATATTATTACAAAATTTGTGATTAAAACTATATAAAAAAATGTCTATAAAAATAAATAAAATAATTTTTTGTTAGATTTCTTTTTTAAAGTTTATTATATTTGAAATTTCGTTTTTTATAGAAAAATATTTTTTTAAAAAAATACTTATAAAATTTTGATAATATTAATAAGTTTAATTAACAAAAATTAAATTAAATATAATATAATACTCTTGCCCATAGCATGGTTGCATATTTTGTAGTCTCTTTGTTGAAATTTAATGTAAAAATGAAGTAAAAAAAAAAATAGTCGAATAAGTAGAAAAATAATACTTTCCATTCCGTGAAATTAGTCCAATTTTTTTTTTTTTTTTTCGCCGCAATTTAAAAAAATTTAGTTTATATAGTTAATTAATGTGATTAGTTAATGTAATATATGCAATAAAATGTTATTTTAACCTTTTTTTATGTGATAAAATATTGAAATAAAAGTTGAAATATTTTTATTTTATTTTATTTTATTTTTTAATATTTAATATTTTATTTATTGAAATTGTTTTAGTTTTAAAATTATTATTATATTGATTGTAAATTATGCAATTAGATAAAATAAAAATAAATTAATTGTAATATTTTAAATAAAAAAATAACAGTCATAATACTAAAATTTTTAATATAAACAAAATTTATAACGCACATTTTATATATCGTACCAAAATTTTTAGTATGCTTATTGTAATGTAATGAGATATTGTACCAATAATTTGGTATATAGAATTTATAGATGGAAAAATATTGAATTACCGAAATAACACATACCGTACTAAAAGATACCGAAAATGCCAAATTTCGGTATACCGAAATTTTTTTGTATTGTATCGATATTTTTTTTTAATATACCAAAAACTTTGGTGCGGTATACAGTATGATTCGGTATTATCGGAATATATTATCAAGTCATTTCTAATCAACTTACATGTATGGTATCAGAATATAATATTTTACACTGAAATATAAAAATTAAAAATAATTTTACAACTTTGAGTATCAATATACTAAATTATTGATATATACCGATATATCAAATACTAAAATATCAAATTGTATTGATATTTTCGGTATATATTATACCAATAATGCTAAAAGTATATCCAATTATTGTAATGAAAATGTTCAGTACAGTACCATGTGAATATAAAAATTTACGATATACAATTTTGACACTATTTTTTCATTCTGTACCTGCATTATTTGAGCAAATTGATATTTTTCATTTTTAATAATAGTGTTAAATGAATTTTTTTAATGAAATATAAAAATTAAATTTCAAATCAAATCTCATTATTAATTAATTTTCAATTGTTAAATATCAAATCAAATAATTTTTATATTATATTAAAAATTAAAGGAAAATTTTAGACATCACGTACAAACAATAAAAGTTGGAAGTATTAATAATTGAATAAGATATAATTAAATTTGTAATTGTAATTAGAATTTACTAATTATTACTATATTATGAAATATGACCAATTTCAAGGGACGGCCAAAAAAGAAAAGATAGACTAATTTTACGGGATAGAAAGAATAGTAAACTAATTATTATTTGTTAAAATATAAATAATTATTTATAGGTAAATGTTTGTTATAAATAATATATATAAATTTCCAGGCAGTCAAAGCATAACCATGGGAGGTTGGCATTTTTTTATTTTGAGTAAAATTTTCTAAATTAAAATATATTTAACAGATATAAATTAATTTAATTAATTATATAACATATAATATTAAATTATGTAAGTATTCATTCAAAATTTATTTATTACTATCACCCTCCTAAAAAAATTAGATATTTTTATCTATATTTAAATTAGTTTACATTAATTATAAATAAATAAAAGTATTTTTTTTATTTATTTGTATTATAAAAAATTTATTCTTTACAAAATAATACTCATATGACATATATTTTTTTATTGTCATATAGTAATTTTTAAAATATTTAAACTACATATAAAAATTGTGTTAGTCATATATATATTAAATTTTTTAAAACTATCACTCTTATTGACTAATTAAATATTAATTTTTTAAATAATGTGTCAGTTATAGAAAAAGGTCAATTATGTTAAATAGAGTGAAACAAAAAAACAAAAAGGAGATTAGGAAAGATGCCATCAATACTATAAATACCTCAAAAATTAGACAACCTTAAGTTATTTGATCATGAAAAGTTGTAGTCGAACCGGATTATTAAGCAGGCAATGGTGGCTCTCGCAAATCTTGTTAAAGCCTCAGTAGCCAAACATTCTGCAGCTGCTTGTGGATCTTCGATATGCCTTATCAGGTTCACTGCCTCTTGATTCTTCATTACCTGCACTGCACCCTCGTATTATTACCTCATTTTCATCATATCAAGTTTTCTGTAAAAGGTAGAATTAGAGTAGCATTTTATGGGGTTCGATGATGCTCGCAAAATATATATATATATATATATATACACGTATATCATATACCTCCCAGATTCCGGCACTTGCCAATATGACAAACTCAATTTCAGGATCGATTCTTTCGGATCCAATCATCAACTGTGAGCTTCTGGAAGGATTTCCATTCTTGTAATCTTTAGACACACGTAGAAAACCTGATGTAATGATCAAATCCACAAGAATCATAACCGATTAATTTATATTTAGGCGGCGCAAACGAATATAAGAAGTTGAATTAATGTGTGATGATGGTATGTATATGCCTGAAATGAATTCCAGAGACCAATGTGATGTTTTAGGCCAAAATTTTGTTGCCCCGATGCCATAGGCCTCTCCGTCCCTGCACACCACTGCTCGGCACGCGCCCATGTTCGCCATCACAAGCTTCTCCCCATTGATCACCATGGCTGATGCCGACCCTGTCGTCGGATATAATGCCTCCTCCTCTTCCTGGTTTACACCGTGGAGATTTGATATTGCACTCTGATGAGCCCTTTTCATGGCTTCCTTCCCCTGCTTTTCCATTAATGGCTGCAGCAGTGTGTATAAGTACATTTTCAAATTACCTTGATCTCGCATTGTTATTACCAATAATATAACTGAAAAGGAAAGGAAATGAACACCCTAAACCCTATTCGAATCCATATTTTCCATTCTAAAGAAAAGATTTAGTTCTCGTTAAAGAGGATAATATTCCGAAAACCACCCAACCTGTGGAGGCAAGTTCTGGAAGAAATTGGAGTGCAGATAGTTGGTGATTGCATTGCTTAGGTGAGTATGGTCGAAAACCCCAAAAAACCATAATTCACATTGTTGTGATCCTTCCCTCTGCACCACAACAGAATCTGAAACATCACTGATCACACTATCCCCATGCGTGTACTGCTCTTTTGGCGACGGGACAGCGTGATAACCGTGCGACACGTGATTCAGCCACTTTGCCCTCTTCTTCGCATTCTCTGTTTTCCCTGACCTCCTCCTGCTTCCGTATTTAATCAGGAATTTGCTCAGCGTCGTTGCCTGAGACAATTTCGAGAGGATCTTAACAGAATACGCGATTCGTTCCTAATCCAAGCAATTTTATAGGGAATGAAATTGAAAAAAATTGCATATTATCAAACACTGCACCACTCGACAGTTCTTACTTTCTATTGGCGATCGACAAGAAGAATGAATCAACCCTCTCTAAACACTCATATGGAAATCATTAATAATTAAATCCAACGCCAGTCGATTGTTATCGAACAATAATTAGATTCACGAATAGAGAATATCGAGGTCCGTTAATGGCGGTAGAATATTCGCAGAAATTTGAATTCCAACGACAACAAAGCAATTCAACCAACGGAAAGACGTCTCGAAACTGACTGTATTATTAATTGAGTATATGATCCTGAATTTGTTACCATAACCACGAACACATACACATAGAGAAATCACAGAGTGGCCTTTAACATAAACAACATTCAGAATGAACATGCACTCCAAATCCACAGACATACATTCATAAATACATACATACCTTGAGCTTGATACGAAGATCTTTTAGTCTCGTCATATTTGACACAACACAGAGAGAGTTAACAGAGATTTGGCATGAAGAACATCACATGTAATCCGATCCCTGAATGAATAAGCAGAGAAGAACAGAGCAGAGCTAGCAATTAAGGAAGCGAACAAACTCACGAGAAAGAGGGATTAATTAGCAACTGAAAATGTAATATAGATTAATATTATTGTGTGATTAATGTGAAAGAGGGGTCTAAGTCAAACAAGACGACTTTCATTTTTCAATTTTCCCTCTCTCTCACCTATATATAGATAAATTTTACCTATAGATTTTTCTTTTTTCTTCTAATTATTTAATTTATTTTTAAAAATATTAAGATTTTATTTTTATTTTAAATATAAATTTACCATAATTATTTATTTAAATATATTTATATATTTCATATGAAAATTATTTAAACTAAAAGTTTGTTAGTTTGTATTTAATTTGAACTTTTTATTTAAATTTTATTTTAATTAGTGTTTTAATTTCATATTCTATAAAAAAAAATGGTACATTTTAATTGAGAATTAGTATACCAAAAAGTAAAATTTGATTTGTACCCCCAATAATCTTATATTTTGTACTATAATTTTATTTCATTATTTCTGAGATATATGATCTTAAAAACATATTATGAATATGATAAATCAAATTACAATAATATTTAAATTTATTAATCACATATATATATATATGTTTTCGGAGTTATTTTACTTTTTAAATATTAAATTTGGATAATTAATTAAAATTTGTTAGAATAACAAATAAAATTTGTTGGATAATAAAATAAAATTAATAACAAATAATTTAATAAAATTAGAATTTATTGGGATAATAAATAACAAAAATAATATATATATATACACTTGAGAGATTAAGTTAAATAATCAAGTCAAAATCGTCTACAACAAAAAGTATAATGAGATTTTCGCATAACACTACCCAAGTTCGAAAAAACGGCGATCACCGCTTGGATAACCGTAAGATCAAGCTGAAATTTTTAAGAAATGTTCGTAATTCGTTACGTTTTGAATTCAACAGTGGGATTTTTTATTAGATGTTTGCAATTCGATCAGAAATTTACATGAAATATTTTTTTATGTTTATCTTAATTTTTTTATATTTATGGTTTTCGTTGGTTGATTGAGCGGTGATTGAGTGTGTTTATATGCATTTTTTAAAAACCCATATATTTTATCTGATTATAGTGAATTTTCTACTTTGGTTTGAACGATCCATGGTTTGTTTTTCCCTTTACTTTGAAGGTTTTTCACGTTAAAAATTTGTTTAATCTCTTTCATATTTTATTTGTCAATATAATTAGTTCGGTTCTTTGTAGTCTTTCAAGAGAGTGAATGATTTTACACATGAAAAATATTATTTCTCTTTCATAGTTTATTTTTGCATATAAAGACATTAACTATCGTCTTTTTTTATATTGTTTATTTTATTCTTATTGTCGATTTTGTTCGGATCTCCTTTCTCTTTTCGGAAGAGAAGTTTCCGTTTTTTAGATTTATTTCAATTTCTTAATAAGAATGAGTGACGGACCAATTAAACTTATTTTATACAATGTTTGTATTTTTTCTATACAGTATGTATTTTTTTAATTAATTTAATTTCGAGTAATATATTATGAGTTTTTTTTTTTTAATTTTGTAAATTATATTCAAATTTCAAATATTTTGATTGGAATAAATATTAGAATGAAAACTGCACTTTTATTTTAGTACATTTATTTTTATTGTTTATATATTTTTAAATTATTTATTATTTTTTAATAATTAATTTTTCATTCTTATATTATATATGTATTTTTTTGAAAATTAATTTTATTTTAGATATATTTTTCAATTTTTGTAAATTATGTTCGAATTTCAACTCTTTTCATTGGAAAGAATATTTAAAAAATCAATGCAGAAATAAAAAATAATTTTTAAAATAATTTTATGAACATTTTTTTCAATTAAAATAAGAAAGCAATTTAAAAATATTTTCTTTTAAAATTTTGAACTAATTATTGAATTAAAAAAAACGGATAATTAGGTTTAAATCCCTTCATGCGTAATAATCTTTAAATTCAATCCCTATTTTAAATCCCTTGCATTGCACTCCTTTCTTTATCGTGTTGTTTACTCTCTCCTCACTCTCTCACCCAAACTACTGTAATCTCTCGAAATTCATCGTTTTCTTCGCGCAAAATCGGAGAGGAAAAAATTGACAACTGTAAAATCGAACTGACCATTTGCTTGCCCACGATTTTCCAATCTTGAAGACCCATTCATTCTCCAGTTGTAGATCTCTCTCTTCCCTTCGAAATTGATGTTTCCATCCAGTCGGTTGCGCTATGTATCCGGCAAGAATTGAAACACCTTAGAGTTTCCTAAGGTTAGTAATATATTTGGAATGTGTTGTGCTGACACAGATATCTCAGTCCTATTGTTAACAGAGAAGCACGCTCAAATCTTGAAGAAGAAGAAAATCGGTGGAAAAGAGTAAGCTATTAAATTTTGCGATAAAAATCATGTTCTATGTTAGGATACTGTCGGGATTTAAACAACGCAAAATCCGATCTTACAGATTGTAGCTCCAGCAGCTCCTCCAACAAGGTTTTCTTCTGCTATTTTTCTTTTTTCCTTCGTTTTTTATATAACTCCGTGGAGCTTCCATCGGGCATTTGATGCAATTGGTTGAAGTCGATTGAAGGTACTCCATCATTTTGGATTGAATAGTTATATGTTGAATCGATGCAGACCAACTCTCCCTAAATCAAAACTCAATTTTATTCGAACTCATTACTTGTAATAAAACTTTATTAACATATAATGTGTATTTTTATGAATCTTAAATTTGTTCTAAAAGTGTTGGTGGCCACTTGTTTTGGTGCAAGTGTTACACAAAATTCATTTTGATTTTGTTCTTTCTCTACGGATCACCGTCACCAACGAGAGAAACCAAAATGCAGCGCAGATTTATCCTCTACCATTCCCGAGTTCTAATCTCCATTGCCAAAGAAGAATTCAGTTCTACTTCCAGTCTTCCAAGCTTTGCATATTTACTTTGTAGTTGAACTTCTTTGTTTTGATTAAGTAAGTTGTTATCTTCTGCTATGTGTCTGAAGTGGTTTTGGCTTGGATATTGAATTCTTGCGTTCGATTGTAACAAATGTGATTTGATTGATGTCTGCCAGATGTTTTGTCAATGTATATTTAACCTTTGTTCTTCGTTTATTTAGCTTCTACTTGTTGCTTTCGTGGTGGCGGTGGTTGTCTTAACTTGAAGGGTGGAGGAGATGGCATGCCGCTCACGCTTTTTCCTTCTATTTTTAGCCATAATTTTTAATGATTAGATTTGGAATTAAAGTGCAATATTCGTAACAGAATGCAATTGCTCACAGATAAAAGATCTTACTAGCTTGAGTTATTGGTTGAATTAAAGAGTGTTGTTCTGTGTAGTATGGGTCCTCACGCCTGTGATTATAGCAGTACTGCTTATTTGGAAATATGAACATCTAAAAAATGTACTAGGTATGTTATATGTTTTATACAATGTAAGAGATGTTGTTACTAAAAGACGATACAGTTGGTGTAAGTTTTGATTGCACACATAAATCCATACATTTATTTTTGTTTTATATATAGACATTTGTTTTTTTCAATTGTTAGTTGATCATCATTGGCCAAGCAAGACCCTATTTTTCTATGAGTATATGATTCGTAATTGTAACATTGTAGATAAGCTCTGTCATTGTAACATATATGATCATCTTGGTAACACTATCATGATGAATTCATCTATGGTTATTGACAACAAGTGAATATTTTGAATTGAAGATGGTCGGTTTCCCAAGCACACGTTACCAGGGCATATGTACACTTTATAGAAGCATATGACACTATTATTATAGGTTTGTAAGATCTGCGTTAGGGTATGTCGGTATTTGATGCATGTGTATAAGTAGGTGCTTTGGGTACAAACACTGATATGCAAGGTATAAATGATGGTTGCTTAGGTATTCTCTGTGTAGTAGCAGATATCCTTGAGTGTGGTAGATTTCAGTCAATCCCGTGATGGAGAAGACAATTACCAGATCAATGATTTTTTTCTATTAGCCCCACTGGAAATTGGTTAAAGCCAGGCGCGATTGTTGTAGAGGTGTAATTTTATATTTTTATAGGATGTTCGTCAATCCTTTCATTATAATTATTTTTTATGTACTAGACATAATGTAATATTGTATATAAATATACAACAATAAGAGTGTTGCATTGATGCTATTTTGTAAATTTGATGTAATGTGGTAGATGAATGAGAATTACGGGTATATGATGATGATCTTTTATATATGATTCGTTGACGATAGATGTTTATTAAAATGTAACGCAGGTACACAAATTGTGGGTCAGTATTTTTGTTTATATTCAAGAATATATAGTTGGTGTCACGAAATACATGGTTCTGTAGCGTATTATCCATTTAAAACTTATAGTAAATTTATGATAATTAATTTTCTAAATGGCAAAAAGTAAGTAGCATATTGTGTTGCAATTGTTAGACTCATACTAAAAGGGTTATAAATTCTTGTTCTAATATAAATCTATCGAGCTCACTTTATGTCATTGAGTACATTGAAACGAGCATTCATTTAAAGTATACAGGTACACAATTACCCACCTATGTCATAATGTTATATTTTTTATTTACATGAAAGCAGAGCCCGGGTACATAATTTGATAAGAATTGGTACATTAAAATCAATAGGGGGTACATCGGAGCCATGCTGAAGTACTTACCAGCTCAACCAAGTTATACTTATTTGAAATGTTTCTGGCTAATTAATATTGAGTTTATAAGTGTGCAGTAGTTTAGATTATTATGTCATGGGTCAAAATATTTTAGACAAGATGTGTTTGTCCTATTACGCAAAAAATACTTAAAGTCCTATTAGCAGATTACAACTAGCGTTTTCACTTGAACGTTGTTGTGTGTGCTACGATGTAGATTACTATGTAATAAGTCTCAAAAATTTCAATTCGTGACAGAAATCATGTATTCTAACAACTAATATAATTTAAATTAGTTATTTATAACTTGTTTAG